AGTGCATGTCACTAATAACTTCTGTATAAGCCAGTGCATGATACTAATAACTTCTGTATAAGCCAGTGCATGTTACTAATAACTTCTGTATAAGCCAGTGCATGATACTAATAACTTCTGTATAAGCCAGTGCATGTCACTAATAACTTCTGTATAAGGCAGTGCATGTTACTAATAACTTCTATATAAGTCAGTGCATGTTACTAATAACTTCTGTATAAGTCAGTGCATGTTACTAATAACTTCTGTATAAGTCAGTGCATGTAACTAATAACTTCTATATAAGTCAGTGCATGTAACTAATAACTTCTATATAAGTCAGTGCATGTTGCATGTTAATTATCAACTCGCATATTTAATTGTATGCTGCTAATACTTTGTTTGCAAAGTTATACATTGTATTGGAAAGTATTTGTTCACAAATGTGGAGCAAATACACTCGAGTGTTTAAAACTTTTCATGCTAGGGTGTGCCTTAGATGCTGAAGGACATTAGTTTATGTTACATTTAAAGCTGTTTGAAACTATTCATGCTAGGGTGTGCCTTAGATGCTAAGGACATTAGTTTATGTGACATTTAAAGCTGTTTACAACTTTTCATGCTAGGGTGCCTTAGCTGCTGAAGGACATTAGTTTATGTTACATTTAAAGCTGTTTACAACTTTTCATGCTAGGGTGTGCCTTAGATGCTGAAGGACATTAGCTTACGTTACATTTAAAGCTGTTTACAACTTTTCATGCTAGGGTGCCTTAGCTGCTGAAGGACATTAGTTTATGTTACATTTAAAGCTGTTTACAACTTTTCATGCTAGGGTGTGCCTTAGATGCTGAAGGACATTAGTTTATGTTACATTTAAAGCTGTTTACAACTTTTCATGCTAGGGTGCCTTAGATGCTGAAGGACATTAGCTTACGTTACATTTAAAGCTGTTTAAAACTTTTCATGCTAGGGTGTGCCTTATGTGCTGAAGGACATTAGTTTACATTACATTTAAAGCTGTTTACAACTTTTGATGCTAGGGTGTGCCTTAGATGCTGAAGGACATTAGTTTATGCTACATTTAAATCTGTTTAAAACTTTTTATGCTAGGGTGTGCCTTAGATGCTGAAGGACATTAGTTTATGTTACATTTAAAGCTGTTTAAAAGATTTAGGTCTTTAATGACAAGGTTTTTTGTTGTTTTTTCTGAAAGACTTGTTTAGAAGAATAAAAACACCATTGTCTTTTAAATATAAAACATTATTATATATGACTAAACTATACTTCCAGAATCTGCAGCAATTAGCTCTTCATAAGTGTTATTCCTGGTGGGACATTATTAGAGCATGTTATTGGTTTGAACATTTCCTTTCTGTGACTGTACATTTAGTTGCTAATACAAAATATCCTTGACCTTAACTTACCTTTCAAACTTCTGCATTGTTGTGGCTGGTGGAGTGAGACTGACACTGTCTGGTGTTGCTCTATGTACAATGTTTGATACAGAATTGATGGGAGGTCCTGGTACAAGGTACGGTTGTGCACCGACATTTACTGAAAAACATTGAAATGTGTAATCAAAAGATCTTTATGAAATTATTAATACTTCAGAAGTGTAATTTAGTGTATGAATGTAACAAGTTAACTTATTCAAGTAACTATGCTCTGCTATATCAAGCTATGTAGAAGCTACAAACACTTTTACTGAGTATACGCTAATAGTTTTTTAGGCTCAGGTTATCATACCTGACTCGGGAAACTACAATAATATGTATGTATATAAACAAACAGACACAGAATAAATAGACATGGTCTCTAAGGGTAAATTCTATATACAGTGAGTTGATATGGTCTCTAAAGCTAAGTTATGTATATACATATATATATTTTGTTAAACAAGACCGATACAACACTCCACCAATTAACGCCTCCCACGAGCTAGATACCACCACCTGCTTACCCATACCTATAAATATCCACCAACAGTAATCACAATTCACACAACATTCAGCCTTGATAATGGATGCAGAATGCATTCGAAACGCATCGGCCCACTCATCACTACCTCCAACTTTTACTCGTTGTTCTAACAACGTTAAGACGGCTTATATATATATATATAT